ATAGACGCTTGATGTCATTAAAACAAAAAAAATTATTTATTCTACTTAATAAAGGCAAATTATAAAAAATATGCTTTTAACATAGTTCAAAACTGTAAAAATAATTTAAACAAAAAGGAAACACAAAATATATTCTAGTTTAAAAAATATGAAATATTTAATAAAATAATCATTTATAATATTGTTATAAACATGGATTATTTCATTAATATTTTACTATTATTAATGGATCCCTAAAACACCATTTGATTTTATTTTATCATGATAAAATTCTATTTACATTAATAATCTTCCTTTTTTTTTATTCATTTAAGAAATGGTTATGCCTACACCGATTTAACTATTCTTTTTAACTTGTGTATAAATAATTTCAAAAATAGATAAAATTTTTAATGTACACTTAAATATTTACTGATAGTGCTGTTTTTAAATTTAAAAATATAAAAAAATAATAAATCATGTCGGTGATTATTAATATAACACCAATGCAACCAAGAAATTGTCGTAAGTCATCCAAAATTTAACACATTTAGTCAAAATGGAAGTGAGTAATATGATATACCTTAAATTCTTGATGGAAATCTAAAAGATTATTTATTTTATTTTAGAGTTGGAAATTGATATCTTTTATTTTGTTAATATCCTGTTTGATATTTAACGATGGTAAATTCTATTTTACATTATTTATGCCTGTCAAATTTATTAATTATCCATTTTAGTTCATGCATTTTTTTTAATGCGATTCATATAGGAATTTTTTAAGATTAGCTATGAAGTTACCCTCGTAGTTATACAAGATTTTTGATTAAACATAAATCCAACCCACCCATGTTCATTGAAACTATTGAATAATACTTATTTTTGTAAAAGAAAAAGATATTTGATTCAACAATATATATATATTTCATTTTTTTTTCTAATCCCTTCTAGATATTAAACTTAAAATTCAATTTTCCTAAATGGAAACCTCTGTTTTTAGTTCAATGATATTATAGAAAAAAAATTTCACATAATTTGGTTCTCAATATATCTTTTACTCGATGAACGTTTAACTGTAATAATTACAGTTAAACAATTATTGTTTGGTAAAAAGTTTAGTTAACTCTTGTCCAATTTCTATTGATAAGTGATAAGCATAAAATAGTCATAAACAAGTTTTTATTATCAATTCTTGTTATTTTATCAATCACTTACGATAACTAATATTAATACCAATAATAATTTAAAAACAAATTAGCGTTGTCTCTGGTATAATGAAAACTAAGTAATAATGAATATCTAGTTAAAATATTAAATGAAATATTTAAACAATTTAAAAATCGTTATCTTAGATAAAAAAAATTAAATACACATTTTTTTGTAAAAGCAAAAAAAATAAAGTAAGTTATTAAAAAAAATGATCAAACTATCGTTACAAATCAAGAAGGAGTCTACTTCCAGACTTTAATCGGTTAGTTCAAAATTTTTGGAATAATCAGTAGATTTAAATACATAATTCTACAAATTTTCTAAAATTTATTGCAAGGTAAAATCTTCGATAAACTTGTCTATAACTATAGTAATAATAAATATCGATAATAATTTATTGCCCATTAAAACAATATAATCTGTTTCAACAATAATTATTGTTGTCTCATGTATTATGAAAACTAAATGAATAATGAAATTCTATTTTATATTCAAATATTTAAACAACCTTAAAATGTTTAAAACGCAATCTAATGATTAGATAAATAAAATTAAAAGAACAAATTTGTGTGAAAATTTTGTCTATCTTTCATATACTAAAAATAGGGGATCCCATTAATGACATTTCAAAATAAGGTTTTTAACACTGAAGAAGTGAAAATATATATTATTGAACAAGTGGTTAATATAATTTTTTTTAAATTTATTAAAGCTTCGACATCGAAAGGTCTTAGCATGCTAAAAGAGAATAACAGTTAAATGTTAAATAAAGCAAAGTTCTGAAAATTATTGTTCGAATGAAAATATATTCATATATTTTTTGTATTCTATTGTATGCATCTAAAATATACTATTAACACACAAAACAATTCTTTTAACATAAACCGTTCGATTAGGATAGTTTTAATTACAAAGAGAGCATTTCAATTATAAAATTGTAGATGAACTGTTTTGCACTTAATTAAGTATATTTAAAAGTAAACTAGATAATACTTGAATACAGAAAAAAATAATTTATAATTTAGCAATTCAATATGAACAATCGGATGATAAAGAAACATGCCAGTTTGATAGAGGTATGATGAGAACAGCTGCTGAAAATGGAAATTTGAAACTCTTAAAATATGCTTTTGAAAATGGATGTATTTGGGATGAAGATACGATTATCGCAGCTGCTGCAAATGGACATTTGAAATGTTTAAAATATGCACGTGAAAATGGATGTCCATGGGATGAAAGGGTATCAGCAGCAGCTGCTTATAATGGTAATTTTAAATGCTTAAAATACGCTCATGCAAATGGCTGTAAATGGAACGAAAGCACAACTACTGCAGCTGCCACAAGAGGAAGTTTAAAAATTTTAAAATATGCTCATAAAAATGGATGTGGATGGAATGAAAATACAACAAGAGCTGCTGCTGCTAATGGAAATTTGGATTGTTTAATATATGCTCACGAAAATGGATGTCCGTGGAATGAGGAAACAACTACTGCAGCTGCCACAAAAGGAAGTTTACAAGTTTTACAATATGCTCATAAAAATGGATGTGGATGGAATGAAAGCACAACAGAGGCAGCTGCAAAATATGGTAATTTAGAATGCTTAAAATATGCTTATGAAAATGGATGTAAATGGAATCAATTAAATATCATGAGTGGTGCAATAATAAATAATAATCTAGAAATATTAAAGTATATTCAAGAAAATGGATACGAATTAGATGAACTAACAACTAATATAGCTGCCATAACAGGTAATCTAGAAATTTTAAAATATTGTCATGAAAATAGATGTCCATGGGATGAAGGTATAACTCGTGTAGCTGCCACAGGAGGTAATTTACAAATTTTAAAATACGCACATGAAAATGGATGTCCATGGGATGAAAGCATTACAGAAGCAGCTGCTTATAATGGTCATTATCAATGCTTAAAATATGCTCATGAAAATGGCTGTAAATGGAATGAAGGTACAACTACTGCTGCTGCCTCAAAAGGTAAATTTAAAATTTTAAAATATTTACATGAAAATGGATGTCCGTGGGATGAAAGAACAACAGAAGTAGCCGCTTTTAATGGTCATTTTAAATGCTTAAAATATTCACATCAAAATGGTTGCAAATGGAATCAAAACACAACTACTGCTGCTGTTTCAAAAGGTAATATTAAAATTTTAAAATATTTACATGAAAATAAATGTCCATGGGATGAAAGTGCAACCTATATGGCTGCCATAAAAGGTTATGTAGAAATTTTGAAATATTTACATGAAAATGGATGTCCATGGAATGAAAACACAACAAAACTTGCTGCTTATAATGGTAATTTAAAATGCTTAAAATATGCTCATGAGCATGGTTGTAAATGGAATGAAGGCACAACTATTGCTGCAGCTTTAAGAGGTAATTTAAAAATTTTAAAATATGCACATGAAAATGGATGTCCGTGGCATGAAATCACAACAGAAGCAGCTGCTTCTGTTGGGAGTCTAGAATGTTTAAAATATGCACATAAAAATGGTTGCGAATTGGATGTTGGAACAACTCGAGCTGCTGCGGAAAATGGTTATTTCGACTGTTTAAAATATGCTCATGAGAATGGATGTCCTTGGGATAAGAGTACAACTATAGCTGCTGCAAGAAGTGGCTGTTTAGACTGCTTGGTGTATGCTCATGATAAAGGATTTGATTTGGATAAAAGCATATCAGAAGCAGCTGCTTTTAGTGGAAATTTAGAGTGTTTAAAATATGTTCATGAAAATGGTGGCAAATGGGATGAAGGCACAACTCAAGCTGCTGCAGCAAATTGTTCCTTCGATTGTTTAAAGTACGCCCATGAAAATGGATGTCTTTGGAATGAGAGTACAACTAGAGCTGCTGCAGCAAGTGGATGTTTAGAGTGCTTGGTATATGCTCATGAAAATGGATGTATTTGGGATAAAGATACAATAATTGTAGCCGCTATGCATGGTAATTTAGATTGCTTAAACTATGCACGTCAGCATGGTTGTGATTGGGTTGAAGGTACAACGAGAGGAGCGGCAGCTAATGGAACATTAAACTGCCTAAAATATGCCTATGAAAATGGATGTGAGTGGGATGAAGGAACAACGAGAGAAGCCGCTGCGAGTGGATATATTAACTGTTTAATATTTGCACATAAAAATGGTTGTAAATGGGATAATGGAACAAAGAGTGGCGCTGCTGCAAATGGTCATTTAGAATGCCTAAAATATATTCACGAAAATGGGTGTGAGTGGGATGAAAATACAACAAGACTTGCTGCTGCAAATGGTCAATATCATTGCGTAAAATATGCCCATGAAAATAATTGTCCATGGAGTAGAGGTACCATTTATGAAGCTACTCAAAATGGTTTTATTAATATAATCAACTATGCTATCGAAAATGAATGTCCTAATTAATATACTGATGAAATTTCTTTATTTTTATCATATTTATATAAGTGGCTATTTACATTATTTATTAAATAAATGAAATTTAGTTTTTATGCGTTTTAAGATGCGTGTCTTTTAGAAATCATAATTTCTAATCATTTTTCTTTTTTCAGTTTAAAGTACATTGCAATACGTGTATAGCATGTAATATATGGATTACACGCAAAAAGTAGAGTGTACTTAAGTACACTGTTGGGTTGCAGCACAATATGGGCGTGGATAGTTGGGTCAAGTATAGATTATATCTTTCAGTGATTAAAATCATTATCATATGACATGCTTCGATGCAAATCTGTAAATAGAATTTAGTTTTAAGATATTGGTGAATTTTTCTAAAAGCAAAATTAATTCTTATTTCCTTCATCATTCCTAATGAGTAGTTTTATTTATATCCTGAAGTTTAATGATTTATAAGTGTCATATATGAATACATATCTTATTGCGTATTTCACTACTACGGCCGCACAAGATATATATAGAGGGTGTTTTTTTTTAATATTACCCACTCAATTACTTACTGAGTAATAATAATTTAAACATTTTTTTTACAACTGATTGTCATATTAATAGCTGGGCAGCTGATATCGAGAGAGACACGGGTGAGCGCCAGTCTAGAGCGTAGGACGTAGGGAAATGGTCTGATTTAAAAAAAAAGTATGTCGAATGAAAGACGTATATAAATGCTACTTTTCATGACAAAATTCTATTGATCCATACATTTTTTAAAAAATTATAGCATTTTAAAGTAAAAAAAACCCAGCACAGGGGGGTCGCGGCACAGTGGTGACGTAGCATAGTTGGATCAAGTATAAGGATATCTGACAGTGATTAAAATCACTATAAAAAAAAAAACGCTTCGATGCAAATCTTTTGATGTTTAATTTTAAAATTTGACGGATTATTCCAAAAACTACATCATCTGCTAGTTCCTTATAAATATCCTGATTAAAATAAAGTATATCGAATGAAAAAGGGATAGCATTTGGTAGTTATTTTTACCGTGAAGACCAAATAAATTCCGAAATTTTTTTTACCCATAATAAAGTACATTATATTAGCTTTAATTTAAGATATATATAAAAGTGTCAGACTTTCTGGATCACTGCCAAAAGTTAAGTTGAAAAAGTAAATTTTTTGTGAAAAAGTTTTAATTTTAAATCCCCCTTGTATGCAGGTAAAGAGTCAGATTTATAAAAAAATATACCAAATGATAGTTAAAGACACCATACATCCATAAAAAAAAGAATTATATTGACTCATACACTTTTCAAAAAGTTATAGCATAATAAAGTTAATAATCTAAACTATAAAATCGATAAGTAATTTTCTAAATTATATAATAATCTAATAAATAAAGCAGTTAATTATATAACTTGTAATTTGAAAAGTTAAATATCTCTTATAAAGTAAATGGGATAAAATATTGAAAAAGAAAAAAAAATTATTGATCCATACATCTTTCAAAAAGTTATAGCATTATAAAGTTAAAAATAAAAAAAGAATTTTTTTACAAAAATCATATTTTATTTATTAACTTTGATGTCTGTTTTCACAATGAAGATAAAATAAAGTCCGAAATTTTTTTTTTCCATAATAAAGTATTTTAAATTAGCTTTAATTTAAGATATATATAAAAGTGTCAGACCTTCCGGAACACTTTCAAAAGTTCTACTTTCTATATGCATTTTTTAGATTTGAACTCCCCTCGTATATAGGGAAATGGTCCGATTTAAAAAAACAAAATGTCGAATGAAAGATGTATATAAATACTACTTCTCATGAAAAAATTGTATTGATCCATACATTTTTTAAAAAGTTATAGCATTTTAAAGTAAAAAATGTAAAATATAAAATCGAGAATTTTCACACAAAAATAGCATTTGGTAGCCATTTTCACCATGAAACAAGTCCAGAGGTCAAATTTTCTTTTTATTAAAATTATTATTAAAAAATATTATTTCTCATAAAAAAATTGTGTTGATCCATACATTTTTCAAAAAGTTATAGCATAATAAAGTTAAAAATGTAAAATACAAAATCAAGAATTTTGAAACAAAAATAGCTTTTGGTAGCCATTTTCAAAGAGAAGATAAAATAAAGTCCTAATTTTTTTTTTCCATAATAAAGTATTTTAAATTAGCTTTAATTTAAGATATATATAAAAGTGTCAGACTTTCTGGAACACTTTCAAAAGTTAAGTGTAAAAGTTGTCATTTTAAATCCCCCCCTGTGGGCAGGTTAAGTGACAGATTTACAAAACAAATATACCAAATGAAAGAAAAATATCTAAGGTTTTAGTTTAAAAAAAAATTATGTTGATTTTGAAAAAGTTATAAAAGTTTTAAGAATAAAAAGTGAAAAAAATGACAAAAGTTACCGATTTTTAAATTTGTAATGTTTTTGGAGGTTTCCCTTATTTACGGGGAACGAAGGAAATTTTTTCAATTTTTGAGGGTAATGTCTTCGACTAGATACGATTTGTGATCTTTTGACGTATCGTTGAAAGAAATCGGTTCGGTGAGAGCTGAGAAAAAGTGGTAACAGACACAAAAAAAAAACACATCATAGTAAAACCAATACCTTCTCAGCTTCGCATGGAAGCTAAAATAATGCAAAATATTACATAAAATAATGAATCAAGAAATTTGATTATCTCTATGTTAAATCATTCAACATATTACTTTATATTTCTATGACAAAATAGTAAAAAGGTAGTATTGAAAAGAAAACAAGTATTATAAGTATTAAACAAGTCAAAAAAGATATGGCAATTTTAATTAAAATATATTGAACATTTTTCGTAAATTAGCGATTTTTAAATTTGTAATATTTTTGGAGGTTTCCCCCATTTACGGGGAACGAGGGAAATTTTTTCAATTTTTGAGGGTAATGTCTTCGGCTAGATGCGATTTGTGATTTTTTGACGTATCATTAAAAGAAATGGGTTCTGTGAGAGCTGAGAAAAAGTGGTAAAAGACACAAAAAAAAAAAAAATACTATAACTTATTACTATGTTCTTACCACTTATATTACACACGTTTTATTTCTATTTACTTAATTCGTAATATATATTAATTAGCATAGAGGGAGATGCTGATGTGACAATTCCACTAGCCCGGAGCTACTGACGTCGAACTAACAAAGTTAGTTGTGTTTGAGTTGATACATAAATAAATAAGAAATTATAAATATAAATAAGTCTTAAAAGGAAGATGAACAAGCATTATAATTATCGACTAAATGAAACAGTTGACGATAATGTTGAATATTGAAAGGATCAATTGAAGTCGAATGCAAGTAGCTGACTAACGTGTACAATATTGCTGTGAATGGTACTGTGGTGTATTTAAGAAAATATATAGACCCAACGGCGATATATTGAGTGCACAAAGTGCGACAATCGCAAAGGTGATATTTTACTTTTATTAAAAAACGAATACAAAACTACTGGCTCGCAAACGCCATAGAGCTTACATCTGAAAATGGGCTAAAAAATGGAGGCGACAATACAGACATAAAGAGAAGACCGACAACTCGGATGTAGCTGCTACATTGTAGCACAACGATAGCATAAATAATCACAACACAATTTTTCGACAGCATATTGATGTGTATACAACAAGGATATTAAATCATTTTTTTTAAATATTAAATTTTATTTCGAGAGTGAGGTGAATAAAAAATACCGCAGTTGTCGTAATCCAAAGAAATTATGACGATGTAAATTCAAACATTCAAATAACATTTGGAAGATTTTAGTATATTTTCAATTTAATTTATATTTAAATATTAATGTCACTATTTTCAGTAAACTACTGATAAAAAAATTGTTTGTTTATCAAGTTAATTTTACATTACATTCATTAAAATGTATTATAGACTTTTTAAATTAGCTATCTCAGAGAGGACGAAGTATTGTTTTTACAGTGATTAAAATCACTATCATACAAATAATTTACATATACCAACTAAACATAAAATACAGGATTTATGTAATGCTTATTAGCTCTAATTTAATAAGCATTGAAATGTTATCCTAATAATCAATAATGTAACATAGACATTTTGATTACTAAATCATAGATTATGACTATACATAGAATTAACGCATTTGCGTTTCGTAAGTTGCAAATATAATATGAAATTAAGAGTTGTAACGGTTTTTTACAAGATATTCATTAAACATCAATATCTTATCAACTTCTTATAATATTCACCATAGTAGTATATTATCATGATTGTGATTCAACATTTAATCATTTTGAATTTTCACACATTGTCCACGATTTAAGATAACACTAAAATTAAAAAAAGTTTAAAATCGATAATCAAAAATTTTAACAAAAAAACAGCAGGATTTTAACTATGGCACCTATTTGCACGTAAAATATAAGTTGTCGGAACAAATTTTTGTTTTTCATTTTATAATACATGACATAAGCTTTAATTTAATATATGTTTAAAGGACACAGTATTTCCAAAACAATTACAGAAGTTAAGTTGAAAAAGTTTAGTTTTGATAAAAAGTTGCTATTTTAAATCCCCCCCTGTGAGCACGTTAAGTGTTAGATTTTCATAAAAATTATATCAAATGATAGTAAAATATCTAAGGTTTTAATATAAAAAAAAAATATGTTGATTTGTCTATGTTTGAACAAGTTATGGAAGTTTAAAAAAAAAAAA